CAGTCATACCCAAAACCTTCTTCAAAGTCATGTCCCACATCACTTCAGAAAGTTGGGCATGTGCAAGAGAGAGAGCCTAATGAGCAAGAAAAAAGGAGTCTCAGAATTCAATGGTGATGGGCAGTATGCCCAGCACTGACAATCTCTCAATCGTCTTCGTCTTCTACCTCTTCAATTCTTGCGCCGCCCCTTGAAGAAGCGGGCCTCGATGTATCGGAGTCTGAAGCAAAAGCAGCCTTTGGCGGGCGTAGACTATCATCGGGAGTGTCTGGTCGCGAACCCTCGTCCTTGCCCTTTTTCTTGGGTTTTCCCTCCTTCTTTCCCTTCTTTTTCTTTTTGATATCCCAGTCCCAAAGTGGGATGAAAGAGTCGACCTACAAACTGTTGTTAGAAAAGCCAAGACGGTTTGCGCAATACTTACGAATCCGACATCTGCAAAGAGTTGCGGGAATATCCAGATTCCCGGGGGTGCGACGACAATAGTAATAATCCAGAAAATCAAGCGTAATATGGCAATGATGAAGAACAAGCCGATTAAGCCAAGCACACCCATGCTGAGGTAGCTGACACCTTGTCTAAACATGGGTGGCCAAAGAGGGAACATGACGCCAGCAAGGAGAACAAACACCATAATGGCACCTCCTAGATAAGTGGTCCATTGGCTTCCTTCGTAGAACCAGGCATAGTGCATTTCCGGGTCGAAGAGTTGCATTTGATTTATAGTTACAACCTTTGCCTTCGTTTTGGTTTGTCCAGAGGTGAGGGTAATACTATCACCCTTATTAACTCGAAGGAAGAATGCATGCCGTATCGTCTGTGACAGGAGCTCCTTCGCCTCGACCTCCGATGTCACCTTCGGAGTATTCTTTAGTTTAGCATAGGCTGGGGTTAGGAGGGCCTTGACAGCACCAGAGCCTATTTTTAATGGGAAATAGTCCGTTGAGCCACCCTCAGATGTACAGCAAATGTGAGCTCACCTTTGAAGTAATCTACTCGCTTGCCGTCCAGCACCCCAGTTCGCAGTTTGGGTCCTGACTTTGAACGGAGAAAGTTAACAACTGCCCTGATTTCGGGAGGTGCAGTATTTTGTTGATCTAGTAGTGACATGCTAGCAAAACGATCTTGCTAGCGGCTCGACAAGCGAAAGGAAATTGAGTCTGCGTCCTCGGTCGTTACTTGCTCTTCAGATTGGTGTTTTAAACTGGTCAAAGGCTTGTGCGATGGGGCGTGTATGCCAAAGAATGGCGTGGCGAGGATCAAAGTGTGAGCTGGCACCGACTTTGAAGCGTTGGCCGCTTCTGGTCAAACTTCCCAGGCAGACAAACAAAACACATCAAGATCACAAGTCTCTTAAATAGGAAAACAACAAGTTGATTGCAAACATAATAACAGGCATTTCGTTAGAAACAAAAAAATGGACCTCCTCCTCCTTATCACTCAGCGGCAGCCTCTTCAAACTTGAAATTCAGTGGCACGAAAGGATAACCACCTGCCATATAGTGCTTCCCGTTTGCTTCGACCCTGGAAGGGATGTTAGTCTAGATAAATCAAACACCATCCTATAAACGTACCAGTGCAACCTTAGGGCGTGAAGGAAAGCGCTAAGACCCTCCATGACGCAGAGGACGCCAACGCTGAATTGGAACCACATAGCAAACATGAAAACAAGGGCAATACCCCCAACCCATCCAGTCATACCCAAAACCTTCTTCAAAGTCATGTCCCACATCACTTCAGAAAGTTGGGCATGTGCAAGAGAGAGAGCCCAGAGTCGAAGATATGACGCAGTGTTTGAGATGCAACCCAGACAGAACTCGATCGTATGGATGATTTGGTGGATAGCAATTTCTCCGAATTCGAACTGTAAACGTAGAAATAAGGGATGGGTATCAAATATACCGAATGATAACTTACGTGCTCTTCTCC